TATGTGGATGTTTTTATCATATAAAAGTATACTAGAGTTAGCATTAATCTTTAATTTATATATTTTTATGAAGTCTATCAATGATTAGGAATAAACTTCATATTCTCTTTTGCATCGTTTTAACATACTTTAAATCAATCATTTTGTCATATTGGTTTTAAATATTCACCTTCCTTGTATAACACTATTTTAATATTTTTTACTTTGCAATGCTATACTTTCTCAAATAAAGCTTAGTTTCATATCGGTAAAAAATAATATAAAAATTCAAATTATTTTTAAATTATATTTGTTTTTTGTCAATTCAAATATCAACATGAAAATTTAAATTGGTTGTATCCTATTTAAACAAACATAAAAAAATAATCGAGATGTAAGAGTTTAAAGAAAAAAATAAACACAAACTGTCAAAAATACTTAATCATGGTATTAAATCACGTGCATTGCACGTGTGTAAAAACTAGTCATGACAAAAATTCAGGATTGCCATATAGGATAGATACATCAAATATGATTCTCTAAAATTATATTGATTCTGACTAGTGGTTTATGATTTCAGTTACATGTCCTCAATAATTTTTATATGCAACGAACAAGATTGGTTGCATTAATTCTATCATCCATGCAACTCCTCTTTAATAATCAATTGTAAACAAATAAGGTTTGAATATGAATTTTTCAAAATCCATTAGATGCATCAAAGTGCGATTCATTAACCAAACGGTAAATAAAAAAGGGAATGCGGAATAGGAAGCGAATTTTATAATCTGTTTGTAAAACAGAAAAGAAACTTTTCATGTAGTTTCCCATCTATTGATTTTTTTCTCTCTTAATTTTCAAAAAAGCCGGATATTGATCTCATGATTCTCATAGCTAGACTTTATGCTTGACTCAATCTCCACTATTTGTAAAGAAAAAGAAGCGGATCCAGATTCAGTTGAACATATACATTTTTTTTGAACTGAAAAAGCAGGGTTGAAGGCCCTGCTCATATAGCGATATTATTAAGAACCAAAACAGTTACAAAAGAGCATCACAACTAGGTGTAGAACCAGTGAGAGTGCAGTTGGTAAGGAGCGGACATATGTCGTCACCTGCCAAATTGAGCCCTCAGCGATACTACAGAAGTAGCTGATACATATTACATACTTACATAAAAAGATAAAAGCAGCCTACTAGTTGAACATATACATTGTTCGCTACTACTCTATCAAAGCGGAGCGCGCAATTGATAAAACTTGTTCGGACCTTTTTTTTTTAAATTTTGTGCTAATCCCTCTCATATATATAAGAGAAAGAAGCATCTCATGGCCACAAATTTAACAGTTCCTGCATAAAAGCAGTGTCGATACAAGTCTCTCTTGCTCCACAATTCCAATACAAGCATTGAATCCTTCACAATATGCATGCAATGAACTAATTGAATATGCTATCTGTGTTGCAAACTTTTACCATATAAACTTGGATGTAACATTGAAATTATATGGTAGCAATCCAAATAGAAAGAAATTCAGCATTATGCAGGCTCTATCGGCACAACCACATAGAAATAGTTGTTTGGCGGCATGGAGTAGGATATAGAAGATAATTTAGAAATTGTATATATTCTCTTTATGATTCAAAATGCCCCCACCCTTATTTTGATTTGATTTTTCAAAAATATGGAGAAATTCTTCTCGCGGTAAAGGGTACACTAGTAGAAAATCGTGTATCCTAGACGGAATATTCTAGATGGAAAATTTTCCATCTAGTTTGTCATTATTCTAGACGGAAAAATTCCGTCTAGAATATTCCGTCTAGGATAAAACATCTTAGACGGAAATTTCCGTCTAGGATATTATTCTAGACGGTTTTTTATTTTTTTAATTTTTTAAAAATAATGACCAGGTATCCTAGACGGAAATTTCCGTCTAGGATAGTATTCTAGACGGTTTTATATTTTTTTAATTTTTTAAAATAATGACCAGGCATTCTAGACGAAAATTTCCGTCTAGGATGCCCTGGCTCATTTAAAAAAATCTACGTCATCAAAATTTCCCCAAAATCGAAATCCCCCCCCCCCTCTCCTCCCCAAAATTTACCGCCCAATATCGAAATTAACCACACCCATTCTTTAATTCAACCTCATCCATCCTTCTCATCTCCTAACCAAAGAACCCCCCCCCCCAACCAACTCACCGCCGGTAATGGACACCGCCAGATCCCTCATCGCGCGCCACGTTCCCTTCCTCCGCCGCCCGCGACCGCCACCAGAACACCGGCCGCCCGCCTCCTACTCTCCCAGGCCGCACTCCTCCCAGCCCTCACCTTCCGCCGCTGTCTAGCTGCGAGGGCATCTGCGGCTCCTGCATGGATCGCCGACAGCCGCTGTCTCCTCGATCACAGCCCCGTCCTCCATGGATCGCAGACAGCCGTTGTCCCCAAAATTTTCCCCTTTCCCCAATATCAATCAAATTTATCATTATCTAATCTAATTTCAGTATTGGTGCGGCTAGGATGTTTTTATTTGGCTTTGACGAAGGGCGAATCTTCATGAATGACGCATCCCATGTTCTCAAGCTCAAGTGTAACCCTTGCAATTGATAGAAAGAAGTCATTTTTTAACTTTTTTTTGGGAAATATGAGGTATTAACTTCTCTGAACTTATATTCTTTGTTTTGCTTCTAGAATTGTAATTATTACGTCGAATTGTATGTTCCAGGTCAGCAAGGGTTATGCTCTAATCTAGGTATTCCCTCTTTTATATGATTCTTGATTATTCTCTAGTTTGCTAGCATAGGTACAGGATAGTCAATTTGCATTAAAATCTGTGATCATATGTCCAGTGTGTGAATTTTGGTGCCTACAACGTTTATAGGAGATCTTTCTAACGAAGGAAATGCAAGAGAATGAACCGAGTCAAGTACAAGGCATGAATTGGTCTGCTCTGGATTACATTAATATTTTTCATGAACTTTCTTTGTGAGTTAAGTGATTGTCTACTTTGTGACTGTACTGTAATATGTTTGTTTAGGCCTTTTTTTTGTGCTTTTGTTCATCCTCAGTATTATCTACAAAATTTTGGTTCTTCCCTCTTTTGGCTACTTGTGAGGAAGTATATGCAATCAAGGATTTTTTTTTCTGCACTATAAATTAGATATTATTGTAGAGTTTCACTTGCCATCTAACAAACGCGACCAGACAAATAACTCGATGCGCATTTGAGTCAAAAAGTCCAAACAGCTATATAACATTATAGTTGTAGCGTCGATACTACACCTATTTGTTGTTGCATTGTTTTCTAATAGAGCAGCCAAGGCCACTACAACTAGTGAGTAGAGCAGATTTTCCAGATCTTTAGGAACGATATCAAGCTACCTTATATCATCAGTATTATAGGTAACTGATCATACGAAAGTCGTTTAATATCATCAGCTACCTTATTGGCAATTCCTTAATGTACTTTTCTGCAGATTCAACTGGAGACGAATGGTGATATAAAGGAATTTGTATAAAGATAAGTGTGAACGTTTCTGAAAATATAAGATCTATATGCTCAAAAGCAGAACATAACTAATTAATTGCTTATACTGTAAGATAATAACTCAGGTAAGGCTTGTTGCTGTTAGTAAACAAAAAGTAGTTTGCAACTGTGATCCTAATTATAAGTAGCAAATGTTATTTGATTTAAGGCCCACTTTGAATAAGCGGATGGAGAGGATGGGATCTGTGTCTCTGCATGTAAGTTCTTCTATTGTACTGTCATGATAGGGAAGTCAATTTTTGCCCATACCCATTTACCCACCTAGCCCGCCCATTACTTGGCCCGCCCAAAACCCACCCATTTAGTTAAATGGGTCTAATCGGACGGGTTTATTTTAAATTATACTAAATGGGCGCTAAATGGGCAGTGTTTATTAACCCGTTTGCCCGCCCGCTCCTGTTCCCAAAACAAAAACCCTAAATCCCGACCCTAATTCCTCTCTGAGCTCTTCTTTTCTCTCGAACCCCGACA